AATGCACCCTGTCTCTTATACACATCTAGATGTGTATAAGAGACAGGGACAGGGAGGGGGTGATGCTACTACTGTAGTCGAACGGTGGGACGGACGTGCAGTTCAGTTTTTGGGCACGCATACGGTGCTGCAGGGATTTTTAGGTCTATACGACATATCGGACTCATATCCAAGACACCACAAACACACACCACGGGCAAAAAAACAGCGTACTCGCGTACTCCCGTACTACTACTCTCCGCGCCCTCTATTGTACCATGGTACTTGATTGAGAAGGGCAGCTGCGGCAATGCGATCGCGGAAGCTCGGCTCCTGCCTCTCTGGTCCATTCACGCACGCAGAATAGAAAACGCTCGCTCCATGAAGGCAGAGGATGGCTGAATCAGTGATGTGCGGTGTGTCCTGTGTTCCTATGGTCTTGGTCTTCGGTCTTCGGTCTTTGCGTCTTTTTTCTCTCCTCTCTTCTTGTACAAAAGTCAAGTAGTTTGAATCAACAGTCATCAGGGTTGGTTTAAACAACGAATGCATTTAATTAACACCGAATCTCCAATCTCCAGATCTACAATTTGTTGTCTGATCTGTGAACTTGAAACTAAAGAGTTAAAAGACCAAGAGGCTTTGAAGGGGATAAAAAGGCTCTACTTTGGTTACAATGAGCTGTCTGAGCGTCTGAGCCACCCCTTACCCCCATCTCACTCGTGCATACCGCTATGCACGACAACCCCTGTTATGCACACTTTTATGCATAAAAAAATGTATATATGCGCGCTCCAACTTATGCTTTGCTTATGCACGAAAAGCCCAGTTATGCACAAACATAAGCATGCATAACAGGTCAGGGCCAGTCTGGCACCACTTGGAGCAACGGCCTTCCTTCCTCGGTGCTTGCGTGTCGCGCGCTCTGCCACATGCTCGTTCGGAGGGTAGTGTGACAGAGTGTTCTATATCCTCATTGTCTGGACACAACCACCCTCGTAGTTTGTCCGAGAAGCGGCGCTGCCAGTATGTCTGTTTTCATGATCGTGGGAAGGAACGAGCCTCTGTACGAGGCGGATCTCGGCTCTGGCGGCGGAGGGAACAGCAGCACCGCAGGGAGGTCTTCCGAGGAGTCGGCGCACCTCAACCAGTTCATCGTGCACTCAGCGCTGGACATGGTGGAAAGGAAGCAGTGGTCCACCCCGGCAACGTGAGTTAGCGTTGCTGTAGCTGGCTTGCAGCGCAGCACATGGGTACAACAACATACATCCCCCCGCGTCCTGAGGGAACAATCGGCTCTCCGTCTCTGCCATCCAGTCGCAGTCATGGTGTACAGCAGTGGTGGTCTTTGTCACTTCCTCGCGGCATATCGGGAACCACGCTATTGGGGGAAAGTCCCTGAATAACAATGTACAGTTTTAACCACGATAGATCGAGAACCGCGTGAATCAGGACAGCGATATAACTATTAAGTGTATCCGCCACTACTGTCCTGCTGGCTGTCGCCCGTTGCCAGTTGGTTGACGGTCCTCGGTTTCCCCACTCATGTGGTCCGTGTGCTCGCTTTGCAATACCCATGTGTACTAGTTGATGAATATCGCAGCGACACCGAGAACTGCGCTACGCAATTTCTCCGAGACTTTGTGGAATAGTCTAGTCATACACGTGTTCACAGAGAGACCTTGCGTGAAGCAAGATGAAGGAACACGACACGGAAGTACCAGGTCACAGCAGGTTAGAAATATTGAATTGGTCGGTATGTAAAACAGAACGGAATGCATTGTTACAACCTATAGATTAGCTACAGCAGTAGTGCAGGTTCATGGCATCCTAGATTGCTCTTAAGCGACGATGTGTTCTGTGTTCGAACTTGATTCGGTGAGGATCCTAACATGACAGACACCCGCTGGACAGCCTTCGGTCTGCTTGACGTTCCCACACTGACACAGCATATTAAACAACTCAAAGAGTTGTGACGCCTCAGCAGGATCACGCTGGGACCTATTAGAAAGACGTTTCGACTAAAGTGTGAGTATCCCAACGAACACCTCTGGTGGGGTTATGAATGAGCCAACACTTTTGGATCCCCGACTTTTGTGGAGGACACTGCTGTTTGCGCTTTCATGGCGGCTTCGTTCCCTTCGGGCGAGGTGTCCCGTGTGAAGGGCCCCTATCACCCTTTCACAGTACCCCTCTCTCTAGGTTGTCCTCCAACAATGGCGCGGCAGTATTGCTTTCATGTGCCATGGATGCCCGGAACCCTAGAGTATGCCTCTTCGCGCAGCCTTGTCACCAAAGAAGGACGACCGTACCGACTAACCACTGGCTGCTGCTGCTGCTGCTTCACGACTTCCCCGCAGATACCTGCGGCTGGTGGACAAGTTCAATGAGCAAAACGTGTCCGCCTTCCTAACGGCCGGGGGCGCCAAGCTGATGCTCCTTCACGACGGCAGAACGGACGACGCTATCAGAACCTTCTTCGCCGAGGTCCACGAGCTCTACGTCAAGGTGTGCTACTTTCTCAATGCCGCCGGCCGTGGGTCGCATGAGATTCCGTACACCCCGGACCGAAAACAATGGCGGCGTTAGAAGCGTCTCTTCGAGGGCTTTCAGAAACTTGTCCTTTGGTTGTAGCACCCTCTACGTAGTGGGGTAATCGACCTTGACGTTCAGTTCAGGGGGTGTGCTATTTTGGGCCGACCTACGGCGTCCGTGTTTGTGTAACGTGTGCGATGGAGGAAAAGGTGGTTATTTAGGGTTTCGCTGCCATAGCCAGCACGGCGGAGGTTTCATGTTTTGCACGGTCTGAGACTAAAAATGGTTGGAACCGCAGCTGGTTGTCGCGCTCAATCCTTGGTTGCGAGCTTTTCGCTAAGCACACACCTACGTCGTACACGTTTTATGCAAGTAATCGTTCCCTGTAGTTTAGCTGTACAAAATATGACACAGCAGTTCTTGGTGCCACTGGCTCCCTCGACGTCGCTAACCTCGCTGTCTTTACTTCGCGTTGTCCCCCCCCCCCATCTTCCCGGGCCTTCTATACGTTTCTTGCGCGTTGATGTCTATCGCTCGCAGCTGCTGATGAACCCATTCTACGCCTACGATTCACCGGTCATATCTCCAGCGTTCGATCAACGCGTCAAGGCTCTCGCTAGAAAGTTGTTGTAGCGTACTAGCCAGGGGGAGAGGAAAGGGCAGATTGCTGTGGATGCAGAGGGTGTGTACCACGACAGCAGTACAATATGCTTCAGGGGCCGTTTGGTCCAAGGAAGATTCGCATCGCAGTATCGCTGTTTTTCCTTTTGAAGTGTTTGGTTTGCCGGAAAAAAAGTTCCCAAGACGCTGCGTATGTAAACTGCTTGGCTGCCACGTTTGTCGTCGTGGGCTCTCTTCGTACGATGCATATGTATGTACACTATTGGTGTAGCGATGACATCAGAGTTTATTTTTTCGGGATGGATCCTCCGGCGTACCTCAGGTATCATACCGTTTGGTCATCACTCTCTCCCCCGAGCATGCTGTAAATACTGTAGTCTAGGCGTTGACTCGTGTTTCGCTTGTTGATCCGTTTTTTAGTAGAGTTAAAGTAGTTGCGTTGAGATTTGGCAAGCATGCCGTCAATTTGGAAAGGAATGCGTTGTATGTTCGGTGGTAGGTGCTAGTGGGGCTCAGTTGTTCGGCGCGAGCTTTCGACCGGCCTGTACATTCACGATAACACCAGTTTCGCGAATTCCCTGCCATGAACACCCACACTGGTGGTGATAGCCCGTGGCGATCTAGAACGACTAACATACAGCAGTTAGCCCCCGCGAGCGATACCTGTACGTAGTCTGTATGCATACACCTCTTCAATCATTGCCAATAACCAGGTTCGATAAAGATAAAAGACATGGATGGTCCAAGAAGATTGTGAACCGCAGTGAGGCCCCGTGACATCTGTGGTTCGGCCATTGTCTGGCATCGACAGAATTGTCGTGTAGATGGCAAGGAGACTGGGATTCCATCTCTTCCTTCATACTGTAGCGCCGAAAAGGTTTGACCATTGGAGCCGACGACCCTGCTGTGTGAAAATCGTCACATGAATATTGAAATTGTCCCTGTGGACCAATAGAACGAGCCGGTTCAAATGTGCACAGGTGTGCGTGGGGAGCTGTACTATTTATCGCGATAAAAATATCTCAGGAAGGAACCGCAGGAGGGGGTCCAACCCCCCCCTCCTACAGTTGGCGCCCGCAGTTAAGAAACGCTTATTTCAGGTCCAGCCTCGAATTCTTGTTGTGGGCTATAAACTCAGCGTATGTCGTTCAGTTTCTTGCTCCAAGTTTCTTATTTTTTCGTGCACCCAAATCCTGCTGAAATTTCTTAAATCGGCGATTTCTTATTATTTCTCTGCTTGCATACTACACAACGTTCCAAATATTTCAAATATAGACTACAAATGATTTGCACTGCTTTCCTCGACCCCCGTACTCAACCCCGATTCTCACTACCGACGGCTGCACGTAAGGCCACTCCCTAGAAGCGAAATGTATTCAGCGGCAACGTTTCGCTATCGCTACCAGGTCCTGTACCCCCCTCATGAGTGAGGGCTGAAACTAAACAAATGCATCAACACCGCATGATGCCTCACCCGCACGCTGACGTGCCCAACAACGAAAACTACCCCGTCATTATGATGCAAGCTCCGTGAGGCGAACATTGGGGGTTGTCACCCTGTTGCGCACCCCGCTCCCTTCCTATCTTTTTGAGACATTTCTTGTTGTGTGACCCAGATTTTCTTATTTTTCGTGGAAAAGTAAGCCTCAATTTCTTAACAAAATATTTCTTAACTGCGGACGCCAACTGTATGTGACCCCGGTTGGGTCGTCTGGCTGGTAGAAGTGGAGGATAGGGGCCAGAGGGGCAGACGACAGAATCCAATGATGGGAGAAAAACGAACAACAAAAACTAGCCGGATGAAGCGTGCATGCATTGCCGCAGAAAAACTGGACTTCGAAAAGTACCCTCTGCCTACTTTACAACAAGTGCCCAGCGAGGCAGTCAATTGGTGATTTTGGTGGTTAATGGATGATGAAATGACCCGGTACGGAAGGCCTTGCCTGTTGTGCAGATGTGCAGATCCTTCCACTTCGCATCATGCATCCTGGGGCGAGAGTAACAGAGTAACACATATCCTGCGGGTCCAGTTTGCGGGGGCCCCTGGCCCCAACAATGCCGATTTAGCTATGCCGATATCATCACACACGCCACAGCTCGAAAGGTGTCGGTGAGAGCGGCTGGAGGGATGGCATCGCTCAGAAAGCACGGCCTTGCGCATAGAGGGTCGCCGGAAGAGTCATTGCCTCGGACAGTGAGCCACGACTCGCCTTCTTCTCCTCGAAAGGTACGGGGCCATCCTCCGCCTACTGCTGTGTTCGATGACCCACGATCAAAATGATGGTCAGGTGTTGTATGATGTTGGATACCAATCGAAGAGTAGTGCCATCGGGATGAGCTGACGCAATGCAGATTCTTTCACGAGGTGGGGCCCTCTTTCTACGAATAATAGCCACCGCCCTGCTGTGGTGATGCATGCCGTCCTGGTGTGACAAAACCGTCCAGACGACGATGTGTCAAACCAGCCTCATGCTTACGACTCTGGAAAGCTTCACGGAATCATTCACTGCAAGCTCGCTGCTGCTGCTGATGCTGTTGCCGGGGAATTGTCACGAAAGGCTCAGTGTGAGCCCGTCACGGCCATGCTCGGCGGTGTCTTGAAAGGTCCAACGTGGCCTTGATCGCTCAGTAGGGTCCTGCGTGTTTGACACATAACGAAACGTTGTCTAAGAGAGCTGCGGTGTAACTTTTCCGTGGAGGAGGATGTGGAGAGAGGTCTGCACACAACAGAATTCGAAGCATGTTGTACAAGCAGTTTGCCAGCATAGCGGACATGAACTGCGCCAATACGTCAACAAGCGACTTTCCTCTTTTCCTGTGATGCCCTCGCTTCATTGTTGATCACTGGGGGCACCAACGTTGGCAAAACATTTGATCCCTTTTCTTCGACAAACACACCAGCCATTTTCTTCTCTTCCCCGGTCGGCCAACAAACAAACCCAGGTCTTCGCCGGAATGGTACGGTGCAACCACAGAACTCTGGCACTTCCTTTAGTATCACACTTTTTCCCTTCCTCGGCACTGGAGGCCCACATAGGGACACTTTTGGGACACAGCACTCAAATGCGTTTTTTGCCGCACCATAGTCGTCCCTATGCTACGCTGCGTGAAACGTGCGTGGGAAACTTTGGTCCATCATGCTCGCACCGTGTGATGCCTGTGTACCTCTCCTGGGCCTCTGACATTCAGTACACAATCTGCCAAGCCGCGGGACTGCCGTACATCGCCTATTCCTGGAGAAAATTGCTATGTTGGCTTCAGTAAATTGTGGAAAGTGTCCCCGGTGCATTTTGGTGACACTTTCCATACTGAAGCCAAGTCAGCCTTCAACTCTCGGGACTGTTGTTGTTATTGTTGTCGTTGTTGCCTTCACATTAAAAACCGTTCCGATCTCTCTCTACCCAGTGTACCTTCGTATGTCCGTACTGGTCTAACACTCGACGCGGTCGATTCCCGTGGTCACAGGTAATAAACTGGTCCCGAAGGGTCCGTAAGTCAATAGAAATCAACGACAGATATTCTGGAGTCCTCCACTCCCTCTGCGCGCCATGCGAGACCAACTGAGTCACCATCACGGGCCAGAGAGAATGAGGTACACCCCCTTGGTTCAATCTTGGTACTTCACAACGCAAGCAGAGACGAGGCCATCTGGCACAGAAAAAGAGAGAGAAAAAAAGAGAAAAACTGTACAGCCTCTCCCAATAAGCGGACGCGATTTTTTCTGCCCATAGCCTGTAACTATACGTAGATGATCCAGATCAAGAGTAGGGCAGAGAGATCCACAGAAGTCTCGGTGTTGATTGGGTAAGATGATGACGGGGAGGGGTTGTTTTTCCATGTACATGGTATGGTAAGGTAGCCTGTGACCGCGGGAATCGACCGCGTCAAGTTTAACAATAAGTGCGGACAAATGAAGGTACTGGATAGAGATCGAAACGGTTTTGAATGTGAAGACGGCAACAACAACAACATTCAATCAACGCGTTGGAGGCTAACTGTTTTCACCTGGACTTCCAGCAAGCTGCGCTCCGGGTCAGGCCAGCGGAATAACGTGCCGTTAGTAATTAACGTTAACGTTCATTGCCAATATACCCCTAGACTTAATGGTTGGAAAAGATAAAATCTGGTGATTGTTTTTGCAGCATACATAGGAGAGACAGCAAAGCACTTCATGAGTTCTGAACCAGAGGCGAGCAAACCGCAACCCAAACGTGGTCTACCCGAGGGCAGATGGCAAGACTGTCAAGACGATCGGGTGTTTCGCTCTCGTCACGAACGACGAGAGACAGAATCTTCGCACAACGGGCTCGACGGGCGAGTTGCGAGCAGAAGCACATGCCCTCCTCGCATGCTGCCCAGCAGCAGCTCGACAAGTAGTAGCAGCTGCAGCAGGTACACCGGCGCCCCAAGGATGTAAACTGCAGCAAAACGTGCCGCCGTTCTCTTGGGACTTTGGCCCCCCTCCCGCCGAGTTTTGTGTCAAAGGGAATGCATTGTACGTAGGGCTAGCGGTAGTCGCGATACCATTCCAAACCTGGTGGCGAAAGAGGATGGCATCGCCTAGTGGGCACCGATCGTTGCTTGAATGCTCTCTCCGATCTGGCGTGCCGCTGAACGCTGACGTTGTTGTCAATCCTTGGTTGTTGGATGTACTTGACAAGTCGACCATTCGGCGACACTTGTTTTCGTCTCTTTTGTTTGTTGATCAGCATCGACCGCGCTGCTTCCGACTGATAAGGACACGACAGTGCCAGCGGGTGCAATCCTTGTCCCTGGAAGGAAGCCAATGGTGTGTGTTGTGTCTTTCAATTTTGAATTGGCATCGCCTGCGCTAGCCGGCTGACCAATGCAAAGACGCCAGCCTCACGGCAGGATAAAGGGCGCACACAGGCGTTCTAATGAAAGAGTTATCCACCGACAGAGAGAGCGAGCGTATGAATGCACGTGTGGGTATGCCTGTGATTGTTTCGAGTCGCAATAGACGATACTACTTAACCTTAACGGTTGTTTGTGTGCGTGCGTATCGGATATTTACTGCTGTGGTCTGTCCGTAGTCCCACCCCACTAATCACGTGCTGCTTGTGTCGGTCGCACCGTGTGTGTTTCGCTTCCCGGCAAGCCTACCCTGTTGCGGTGCACCCCGTAGATCTGCGGATCCCGCTGGTTTTGGCTTGCCTTCCGCAGCGTTGTGGCACGGTCGAACGACATGACGGAACCCCCCACAACTCACGAACCTAGGAATCACGAAAAACAGGCTATATACGAGAAAAAATGTGCGGACTCGACCACAAGAGCAGGTTCTCAAGTAAAGAATCTTACACTGATCTTGTCGATGTTTGGATTAGTTACCCCATACAGAGGAAGCAAAAAACAAGCCTCCTGCGAAACAATTGGTTCTTGTTGCGGTTGTCCCGTACTTCAGCCGAACCAACCTACAAGTAGTATCGTTCGGGATGCGCATTTCACGCTGAAAACGCCTTGCATGTCCTCCCTCAGCCTACATATCCCTTTACGCTTGAATCACATGTCCTTCCTCAGCCAACATATCCCTGTGCACGCTTACCACGTGTCCTCCCTCGGCCTACCTATCCCTCCCTGTGTACGCTTTATAACGCATCCTTCCCTCACCCCACGCATCCGTATACGCTTTATATCACACACGCGCGTGTGCCACTGATGTATGCATGTATACAGGTTCGAGATGCCAGACGAGCCAACGTCCTGTCGGCAGCGATCGCCGAGCACTACAACCGTACCCACCGCCACGCCTTCGACCAACACGAACACCTTCCCCACTCGCGGGTGAGCCAAGAGAAGCACCGATTGTACTGCTGTAAGGTTCAACATGTAGAAGCGTTCGATGTTGTCGGGGCGTTTTGCGTGTGCCGTTTTTACGGTTCGGGAGTCAGGCTATACGCGAACATTCGCGTTACGTTCTCTCTTGTTCCGTCATGCTCACATTGTAGTCTGTGTCTGGCTCTTCTCTTTCTCTCTCTCTCTCTGTCTGTCTGTCTCTCTCTTTCTCTCGCTCTCTCCCCTCCCTCCCCCCTCCCGCCCGTCCTCTCTCCCCGTTCAAAGGAGGTCGGCGACTTCGGAAGCCATGGATCGGACGTTCCATGGTGGGTTAAACATCCGCTGTTCAAGGGGCTGGTGGTCACCGGCCTCATTATGGGAGCTCTCTCTCCGGTATTTCTAAAGGTGAAGGGCGTTTCAGGCGAAGGGGTTTGGGGGGGTGGGGGGGTGTACTCATGGTGGTGCATGCTGTATTCGTTAGACCGTTGACCTCGCATCCCTACAAAGCCGGGACGGAGCACGCCGGGTTGTCACCGGACCAGGCTCTCACATCACCTAGCGCGAAGCACCGTGATATATTCGTCGAGTCGCATTAAGGGTGCGCTGCATCCTGCTTAGGGTGTTCCGCATCTTGTGCTTACTTCCTGGGTTGGGGAGGGGGGGGGTTGGAAACGTTTCGTTCTCCGCGAGGTAGTGCTGGAAGTGAAAGAGGATGGTGGTGGTGTTCAGGTAGCGCCTGCACTCTAGAAATTGGCAGTCAACACCTTGATTCTCAAAGCTGTATCAAAACATGAGCACCGTTTGGGATCCCGGTTAGGAACACCTACACTCTATAAATATAGCGGCCATTTGTAGCCCAACCCTCGGAACTAAGAACCCCAGCCCCGGCTAAGAACTCCTATACTAACACCTATCTAGCGGCCGTTTGTAACTCTCAAGAGGAATCCAGCCTCGATTGGTAGAGGTGTTCGTGCGTTGTCTGTAGACAACATACCTAGATTGACGACGGTATTTCCCTCTCGCGAGTGCGACGTAGCAAACGTTTTTTGCCCTGGGCGCCAGTTTCCTCATGCTAGTTCCATGCAGGAGACCATAACACACTCTGCCAACACCAAGTGCCGCAAAGATAGTGCAATGATAGTCACCAACGTTGTGGTGGTTGGGTAGGGTTTCGTGCGCAACGGTGGCAAGATTGCGGCATGGGAGGAACTGCACCACTGAAGTGGGTCTCGAGGGCGTATTTTTTCTGACGGGCGGCGACCAAATCGAGCAGGTCTCAACCTAGGCGGCACCGAGCCCTCCTGTGCTTCTAATACCTTCTTCCACGGACTTTCATTATCGATTTCCACGCTCCCCTTGGCCAAATCTGGGTCATGTGCCCACCCACGCCCCCGCAACGTTTTATTGGTTCCGACAATGTGCTGCTTTAGGGAGGTAGTGCCGTGCACAACGAACACACCTTCCTGTTTCTTTGGCTACTTTTTCTTCCGTCCTCCGCCTCTTCGATGCTTCTGCTTGTGGGCTGTCTTCTTCTGCGCCTTCTTACAATACAGATACTTCCGTCCAACACAACGAATCCCTACACGTTGTGCACGTACTATTAATTATTCAAATAATATCAATTCAGAATCAACTCTATCCACGGGTTAAGTCCGGGATATAGCTAGAATTTTTTTTTCCTTTACAGAGGGGGAAGAGGTACTCATGCACGACTATGAGTACCTGTTCCCCCTCTGCACTCATCCCGCCTCCTGTGAAGGTGGGCAGGGCGGATTCGGATTCATCCCTATCCACATAGTCTACGAGATGGATTGACGTGTTCTTGTGTAATTTCTTTCCCTGTTTACTGTCTTCACTCATTCGACCGCCTCTCAAAGGTGGGCAGGGCGGACTCGGAGCACCGACGGAAGCGCGAGCACAACGACAGTTTCATGAAGTCCAACCCGGAGGTGGGTTTTGCTCGCCGCGGCACCTGAACGTCCGGCCGCCCCCGTGTTACTGGCTCTGTTTTGCCGGCTGCTTGTGTCTCTTTGTCGTCTCTTGCAGCTGTTTCTTGGCTGCTGCCTCTGCTGCCTTTGCTGTTTCTCCGGCTGCTTGTCTTGCTACGGGTGCTGCCTCTGCTGTTTCCCCGACTGCTTGTGTCTCATGATATTGGTGCTGTTTTTTTGTATGTTGCTGTCTCTTACTTCTGCTGCTGCTGTTGCCGCGGGTTGTCGTATTTGTTGTTAGACGCGTCATAAAACGACATGTGGATGTTGCATCTGAAACTCTTTTATATTTTATGTTTTGCCCTCACCCCGTCCCTCGTGTCCCTTAACCTTGCCCCCACAACAGGTGGCCAAACTCGGAGTTTACCAGCAGAACAACTACTACTGCCACGCGCCGTTTCCAGGAGCGCTTGACTCGCTGGCGTACAAACGTCCCCACCGGAGCGAGCTTCTTGCGGTGCAGATCATCACCCGAAACGGAGATCGGGCTCCTTGCGGGTGAGCTAGAAAATAAGATTAGGGTTAGTTATGGTTAGGGTTGTTTGTGTATGTTGTGACCACGCTTAGGCTACAACTTTGCGGGTACGCTAGACAACCAATGTGCGTGTTGTATCCACGCCTATGCTACGACTGCTAGAAGATATAGAAGCGTGTGTGTTGTGACCATACTTATGCTACAACTTGTGGGTGAGCTAGATCAAGAAGTGTGCGTGCTGTGACCACTTCGTACAAGATGATGATTGTCGGCTGGCTGTATTGTGTTTTGGTTTTTGCACTGGCCTCGTTTTTTTTGTTTTTCCGCTCTCTGTGCACACAATCACATCTCTGAATGTGAGATCGAGCGCGTTGCGGGTATTCAAGCTGGTGTACGTATGACCAGACTAGAGAGGACTGCAGTTAGTCTGTTGATTAGCTGGTTCTGAGGGTTTGCTGTGTTGGTATAATAGTACAGGCCTATCATTGCCGTTGTGGCGTCTGGTATCTGTTACCTCCTCTCTTCGGTGCTCATCAAGGAAAAAAGAAAAGGAGAGAGACGAATGGCTACCGTGGTCGTCGCAAGCTACCGTAACAGTGCGGGTGATTGCACCAGTGTTGTGATCGATTTTTCAAGAGTGGTCTTGCTCCGCAACCCGGGTGCTATCAAACCCCCCCGAAACGTGCAAGGAGAGCTGGCCCTCTATCAGAACTTGCTAGAACCACCCTTTTCGGCAGTATTGGCATCAACTTAGTTGTGGAGCAACCGGGGTTTTATATCATAGGCCGCACGCCTGGTGCGATTCGCCAGCACTTTTACGGCAACCCAACCCAGATCATGATAAAACTAGAAGATGCGAAAATACCACGGTGCACCAACTCAATGATTTTCTGGTAAGCTGACTTCGTTGGTGTTGCGATTGGACGCCCTTTCATCACCGGTGGCACCTTTGCCCCTCTCTCGTTTGATCGAGGCCCTTCAGAGACCCCAAAAAGTTGGCTGAGCTTGATATCGGTGTTCGGCACCAGCTCCTCTCCTTGACCCCCCACACACACANCCCCCCCCCCCCCCGCTATCTATTCGGCGAGTCGCACGAAAGGTGCGCTTCATCCTTAGCAGGATGCAGCGCGCCCGTCATGCGACTCGCCGAATACCTCACTGCGCTTCACGCTAGGTGATGTAAGAGCCTGGTCCGGTGAGAACCCGGCGTGCTCCGTCCCGGCTTTGTGAGGACGCGAGGTCAATAATCTAGCGACTACGGCATGCAAGACTATGAGTATCTACCCGGGGTCCACTTGTTTGTTTCACGGCGCCCGGAATTCCCAGCCTTCGCCTCTGTCCCCTGTTCCTTTAATGGTGGACTTTTTTCTTGCTCTCCGTTGTGGTGTTTGGAAGGGTTCTTCCCTTCGAGAACAATGTTACGTGGAATTGCGATGGGCCAGACCTGTTTGACCCTAGTGGGATGCCGATAGAGGTGAGTGTCTCGCGCCGATCATTATCTTGAGGCCGGGCCGGTATTTCGGGGTTTGATGTGTCTTCAGGTCGGCACATATTCTTGCCGATCATGTCGCGAGGTTGGTATGTGTTGAGAGGTCGATATCGGTGAAGGTCGGTGCCTGGTAAAATCTCGATGTCGGTGTATTGAGGTTAATGTGTCGACGTCGATACATATAATGAAGTGTGCGTCGAGATCGATAGTGGGATGCCGATAGAGGTGAGTGTCTCGCGCCGATACATATCTGAAGGCTGGACCGATGTTTGAGGTTTTTACGTGTTCAGGTCGATAAATATTAAAGCCGATCATGTGTCGAAGCTTTGTTGAGGTCGATATCGGTGAAGGTGGTAGCCCGGTACAATCTCAAGGTCGGCGTATAGAGGCTCATTGATATCTCGACGTCGATATCTATACGGTGAGATGGATGCGTCGAAGCGCGGCACCAGGTGTGGATTGTTACGCGCCTCTATCTTCACCTGCTGTTTCTCGCCCAATATTCTCGTTGCTAATAACAACGAAACGCTAGAAAATAGAAAAAAGTAAGTCCTTTTTCGCCGTACCTGCAGATCCGTTGGTACTAGTCCTGTAATAACTTTTTTTTCCGTTTAAGTAAAATGAGGCAAGTTTACCTTGTTTCAGTATTGGGGGACTACCCTCAAAGCCTAAATGTTTTTTCTTTCCGGACATTCAGATAGCGCCGCACTTACGAACCCCTAGACTTGGCCAAGGCTGGGGTTCTTAGTTGCTCTTGGGGACTACAAATAGCTTCAATGTATACTATGATAGGTTTTTGTGTAGGGGTCCTTAACCGGGCTCACAAATGTAGATGGTGCTGAAGTTCCTGGATAATGAGTTTCTCGAGGCTGTACCAATTGTCGTAGCTGCCATGTTCTCAAATGCTTTTAGTAGCGCTGTCTGTACTCGAGTGGTTTTCGCTACTGGTTAATAGTTCTCACCCCATGTCACACCACTATATTCACTGGCACCTTGACCCCCCCCCCCCCCCCCCCCCCCCCCCCCCCCCCCCCCCCCCCCCCCCCCCCCCCCNNCAATTCACTTCGTGAACTCGGCAACCAGGTTACCGTTTTTTTTTTTATCTCCATTTTTTTTTTTTGCGGTAACCATAATGGTGGTCAAGTAGATCATGATGTGCGGGGTCGAGAACCCTCACTCCGCGCAAGGAAGATGATTGCACCACGTTGTGTTAAAATGGTCAAGCACCCTCGAGGCAGTTACACAGTGCTTACAACTGTCTCAGGAAGTGAAAGCACCAGAAAATTATTTTAAGACATACGCAGCTGTCATCCGTACGCAAGGAAGTAAGCACAAGATGCCGAACACCCTTAGCAGGATGCAGCGCACCCTTCATGCGACTCGCCGAATATCTTACGGCGCTTCGCGCTTGGTGATGTGAGAGCCTGGTCCGGTGAGAACCCGGCGTGATCCGTCCTGGCTTAGTAGGGATGCGAGGTCAATGGTCTAACGACTACGGCATGCACGACTATGAGTACCCCCCCCCCCCTCCGGTGTTTGCCTATCGGGATTGGGTTTTCGTCGCTTGGCAACGACGTTGTAAAACAAGCCAATTCACTTCGTGAACTCGGCAACCAGGTTACCGTTTTTTTTTTTTTCCTCCGTTTATTTTTTTTGGGCGGTAACCATAATGATGGTTGAGTAGATCATGTTGTGCGGGGTGAACCCTCACTCCGCGCAAGGGGGATGATCGCACCACGTTGTGTTAAAATGGTCAAGCACCCTCGAGGCAGTTACACAGTGCTTACAACTGTCTCTGGAAGTGAAAGCACCAGAAAATAAATTAATTCATACGCAGCTGTCATCCGTACGCAAGGAAGTAAGCACAAGATGCCGAACACCCTTAGCAGGATGCAGCGCACCCTTCATGCGACTCGCCGAATATCTCACGGCGCTTCGCGCTTGGTGATGTGAGAGCCTGGTCCGGTGAGAACCCGGCGTGCTCCGTCCCGGCTTTGTAGGGATGCGAGGTCAATGGTCTAACGACTACGGCATGCACGACTATGAGTACACCCCCCCTTCCCCCGTTCCCCTCCACGATGCCCCCTCCCCCCACCCCCCTCTCCCTGTTCGGAATAGATTGTGCGGATTCGGGACGAGCCTCAGTCGCTCAGAACAAGTATCTGGGACGGGAATTGTTGGCGCTGCGACTCCACAGGTTCGTAGATATCAGGGGGGGGGGGGGGGGGGGGG